TTTTTTATCAAGGTGAGGCTTTAATTTGTTTTCATAAATCCTAGGCCTTGTAAAAACTACATCCTTATAAACCAAGTAGATAGTTGTGAAGACGCCTCCCTTTCTATGACCCAAAATGGCATGTGCGACAAGGTGTAGCGGGCGAATAGTGGACCACGACATTGATGATATGAAAGACACCCATTTCCTTCAAAATTACGGGAATGCCACTAACACTCTCTCTCGATCTCGACCCTATAAGCAAGAAGTTTGGTGATGGAGAGAAACATAACTATCGAACTTTAGTATATTTGATCATAATTGCTCTTATAATTGCACGTTTTGATGAATGCAGGTATTTACGTATGACCATTAACCCCAATAGTAACGATAGAGAGCCTGAAGGAGGAAAATAATAAGGGTGAGGGTTGTATAAGGTTGAAACATTAAGGCACACCTCCAAACTTTGTCGTAAGATATAATTTTGGTGTTGAAAATTTTAAGACGGCCTAAAAATCTATTTTCATTGCTAATTATAAGATTTTAAACTCTGAAAACGATTCAAATCAAGCAGATCTATAAAAATCTTGAAAATGGGCGATTTAGATGATGTGTTGCAAGATGTGTTACTTTGGGACTTCGAATTCTTCTTCTATTTTTTCATATCTATCTTATTGTTTTTCTATATTCATACATCTCGAGCTCAATATGATCAATTAGATGGTTTTTCAATGTCAAACGAGCCTTTTCTGATAGAATTTTGAGGTGTGTCTTAATTCTACAGTTTAATGTATCAATCTTATATAAACTTTTTTCAAAAAATCAGAAGTAAAAAAATATCAATTCTGCATCATTTCCTCCATACACTTTATATATCAATATGGCAACATTTCCTCCATTCACTTCCCTTCCTTTAGCAAAACTCTGTTTATAAATATTTTTAGGATTTCAAAATTCAAGATGGAAGATCTTGAACCTAGCGACCAACCTCAAAAAGAAAAAGGGGCAAAAGAGAGGGACAAAAGAAAGAAGAATCCAACATACCATTCATGTTCCTCAAAATATAACACCTCGTAATTAAGTGGAAAGACCAATTTTCAATGCATGTGTTTAAGAACTCAAAATCAAAATTTTAAAAAATAACCATTCTTCGGCAAATTTCAAAATTTCAAGGTTGAAAAAAATTTCTGTAAGTCTTTTGCAAGGAGAAAGTATAAATGCTCTCAAGTGAGCTTTCTATAGTGCTCACAAGACGAAGAGTGGAACAAGTATCTAATTATGGGAAAGCTGTCTATGTTCCCCCTACAGTTCTATCCTCTCCCTACTATCCAGTCGTCCATTTTTTATCAAGAGAGCCACTCATCCTTTGATCTTAAATCCGATGTCTCAAAGTATTTTATTTTTATTTTTTTTAATACAATTTTTCTGAATATGAAATGTGGTATGTGCTATCTTCTCATTGGGGCGCACCTATAAAAAATATTAAGAATAATTTTTTGATAAAAAATAATGATCAAAATACCCCTTGAAATTTTTAGAGGTATTTTGGCTATTTTATTTTATTGAAAATATTTTATTTTTATTTTTTCTTAGTGCGAATTTAATAGAGGAATGGACGTCCAAAATTTGGTGTCAAAATAGTTTATAGAAAAAAATTAAAAATAAAGTAGTATAGAAATGTGACATTGTGATTGGGGCAATCTTAACCCTCCATTCAAAAATGAATGGTTGGATAAGGGGGAGAATAGAAATTGTAGGGAGAACATAGAAAGCTTTGCCTTTAATTATTACCCATAACTGGATTGCATGTATTACCCCCTTTTGTGGCCTACAGATTAGTAAAATAGCTCATCCATCAAAATGTGAAGTTATCCTATTTAATAAAGGAATGGAAGAATTAAAATAAGATTTATAGCTATAATTAGGACATTACTAAGGTTAATTATTCTTATGTTCCTTTTCAAGAGAGAGAATGCCTTGAACTATACCAAGCTTCTACATAATGACAACATTTTATTTCTCCCATAAAAATCAAGCCCAAGAAAACACTTTGTAACTGGGGTTTTACATGTAACTACCTACATATTTAGCTCCTAAGCACCAGAAAATGTTTCGTTAAAAACTTTTTGAAAGTAAACAATATTCATGGAGCTATAAATCCCCTAAGTTTCATTTGACCCTTTGAAAAATAAAATTTAGTACAAAAATTTTCCGAAATAACCTTCAGCCAAATGTTAGAAGCCCCTCCAAAGGTTAAAGTATTAATAAAACAAACTAAAGAAATCCCGAAAATGTCAAAGAAAAAATATATAAAGAAAAGAGGAAAAGTTTATATAAACAATGAAATTGGAGGCTACCACATAAATTTCACTAGAAGAGGTTGTTTTGATGCCCAAATATCTTCAAATTGATCATCTCAATATTAAAATGTATGGACATGATAAAAAAATAGATTTCATGTTTTGGAAATAATGTATTTTGTAACGCATTTTAGACTGTCAATTTTTAAGATTTTCAAGTTTTCATAGATGTGTCGATCTACATTATGTTTGAAGCTTTAAACTTTATAAATAAATATGAAAATATGTTTTTAAGGCTATCAAAAAAACTTTCAGTATTCAAACCGTATTTTTCGATACTATTTGAAGATAGGTTTTATTTTGATTGTTTAAAGCCTAGGCTCCGTACAAACCGCACCCTGTAAAAAATATGCAATAAAGATCCTGAAGGAAGGGACAACATATACGGTAAAAGAAGCGCTAGAAGCTTGAAATGAAATTCTTTGACTAATGAACCTGAAAAGCTGGCAAGTTTTAGAGTCTAGGAGCTAGAAATCTTGTTTTTGGATGAATAAAATATTGTGTTTGATAGTTTATGGGATTTCAAGGAAGTATGGATTTGACAAATCGAGAAGTTTCTAAACTTGGAGTACTTAAATTTGGAGAGCACGACTAAGTATTTCAATTTTAGTTTTTCTCTATACATGAGATTTAGCTAAAATTTGGGTAAATGCGCATCGGTCATTTTATGCAAATTATGTTTCGTACTTTTTAGTTGCAACCCCATGAGGCGCACTCAATCAAAAACTTTCATCTAAAGTTTATTATAAATAAATAAATAAATAGCTTTGGCTGAAAAATGTGTTTTTCATTCAATGATAAGCTGCCACTTCCGCTGGTTTTTTTTGGTGGGGGAGGTGCGCGCTTCTCATATTTGACTAGTGCGTACTTTCGGTGCTGTGCAGTTCCTACTAGGTAAGGGTGGCCAGGGGCCCGGATATAGACCCGACCCGGGATCCACCGGGTATACCGACGTGGGTCTGGGTGTGGGTCCAATATTTGGACATGGTGGGTCGAGTGTGGGTCCAAAACCTGGACACAAGCACTATTCGGGTTTGGATCCGATTCCCGTTGGTCCCGACTTGTACCCGTAAATTGTTGGAGATAAAATACCTGAAGCCCTATTTATTTGGGCGTATTAAAGATTGTATACAATAAGAACTTGTAGTCATATTTAAACGACAAATCAGACAGATTGAAATCTAATGGCAGGTGATTGTGACCTTGTTGCCAATAATATGGTTATATGATGGTAAAAAATGGGTAAAAACAAATAAAAGCTCATAGTGAGGGTGGCAATGGACCCGACCAGACCTAAGACCCGACAGGATAGACCTGAGATCCAACAGGATAGACTTGAGATCCAACAGGATAGACCTGAGATCCAACAGGATAGACCTTCGACCCAACGGGTATGGGTCTAACTTTTGGACCCTACGGGTCGGATCCGGATCCGAAACTTGGACCCGAAACTATTCGGGCCTGGGTTTGAGTCCGGCTCCAACTGGACCCGACCCATACACAACCAGTTGCCAACCCTACTACTAAGAATTGCACCTTGAAAGTTTCAATTTCTGACATCGAAATTCGAGTTGCCAAACATGCCATAAAAAGCATCTCCAAACTTTACATTTTTTATAATATAGAATTGCATTTACTATCAATACCAGGAGATCACAAATCACTAGCTATAGATCTCAAATTTAACGGCTTAAAGTATGTCACACGAAGTTTGACAAATCTTTTTTGAGCTTAGACTCTAGTAAAAGACACATTTACAACCACCTAAAATCTGTTGGCTAAAAAGTGATTTTATACCAAAAATAAATAGACACTGCATATACTTTTCCTTTTGCTTTTTGTTTATCGCTTAATTAAAGAAACATGATGTCTTCTTGTCCTTAGTAGAGAAATTTTGTAGTCCACAAGATTTGGAGTAAAACAATTTGGATTTAATGGGATTCTACTCATATTTGGAATTTTGTAACATCGTAAACTGACTAACGACAATTGGTGTACGGGTGATTGGCACGAAATGGTCGCATCCAGTACTTTCAGGTCTGCTAACGGGTCGGGTTGGTTAGAGCCCGTGAGAAGGTCCAAGGCAAAAATAATAATTTTTTTGCAAGTAAATAGTAGGCCCCAAGGTGAAGCGGCTGAGGGTAACTAATGACAAGCCAGGGTTGTGTGATAGAGGCTGACGCTTTCAGATTTTAGGTGTAGATCGAAGTGAAGTGAAGCTCGGTGCTCCTGTTTCTGTCAGATTTGAGTTGCTTAACATCTCTATAATTTTTTTTATATATTATATATAAATATTTAATTTATTATATTAAAACAAAAATCCAAAATCTTCCACCAAATCAACCAAAATACTAAATTTTTCCATTTTTTCTCACCAAAACTAAAGAAGCTAATTGATACTTATCCAAACCCCACCCTCATATAAACTCGTTCGGATTGGATGGAAATTTGAGGAAATTGCCAAATGAAAGAGACATGTAACTGTCTAGTCAAATGCACCAAGTACAGCGTTTGTCGTGCTTTTTGGGTAGAAAAATTCATAGTATAGGGGCATAAGAGAAATTTATATTATGGAGGAGCCCAAACCTCAACCTGCTTCGTCCTAGTTTTGTTGGCGTCACGGGCCCGTTTCAGTCGTTATATTTGTCAACCAACGAAGTCCCAATCAAACCAATTCTATCTCCTCATCATCGCACCTTTCATCCATTTCAAGCAATCTCACTCTGTTCTCTCTGTTTTTCTGAATGACTCTCTTCTTTGCGATTCTTCTACAATTCTCCTCCGTTTCCAATCATGTAAAAAGCAGCCTCCCCACCATTTCATTCTCTTCAAGTTCGTCTCTCTCTCACTCATAATTGCAACAATTTTTTTTTGTTCTTTCACTTTTGCTGTTGCTTTGGGGACCATGACACAGATCCTTCACTCCAAGCTCCCCTGCAAAGATGAGGAGACAGATTTTGATTCCTCTGCAAGCTCCTTTGGGCAAAATGATGGGTTTGTCTCTGAAGAAGATGAGGATTTCGTGAACCCAAAGTCCCCTTTTATAGTTTCTCGCTCGAGTTGGGGTGGGGACGTAGGCCCTGGTTGCTTTGAGGGAAGCGTAAGGGATCGAAAGGAAGAGAGAAACAGGGATCAGTTTCCTGTGTTGGACATTCTTGTGGCTGCTTTGAGGAAATCACTGATAACTTGCAGTGTAGATAGAGAGGATATTTGCTCAATGGATATAAGTTGGCCTACTAATGTGAGGCATATTGCACACGTTACGTTCGATCGATTCAATGGATTTCTTGGTTTGCCGAGGGAATTCGAGCCCGAACTTCCCAAAAGGGTCCCAAGTGCCAGGTCGGTTTCAAAGCTCTTTTCCCTATTTCTTATTCTAGCAAGAGTTTAAGGTGTTAATTTGGCGTGTTTTTTTTGTTTTTGTGGTTTTTGAGAAGTGATTTTTGCATGTTGGTTTTTGGTATGTTATACCCTCTTAGTGTGGATGTTTGATTTGGGTCAGAATTTTTCAGGGAAGTGAAATTGGTTTAGTGGTTTTACCTTATTAATCAATTTGTTCTATTTTTGTGGTTTTAGCTTTTAAGCAAGAGATTAATTCAAAGGAATTCTGTCTTATTCATTTCGAAAGTACGCTCAATTTATTGAAAATGTGGATATCTCTAACATCAGGTCTTTAAGTAAACTTAGATACTCAAATAATTCTACAGTTCACTGCTGTGGTTGTCTTTTCAGAAACAGTGGGAATTGAAGCTTGAATTTCTAGATTAGAAAAATTATTTACTTCACTGGTGCTTGAAACAAAGGCAATGGCATGCCACAAGTGGAGGAGATTGATAGCCGAATTATAATTTTACCTGTAAGCTTAGAAAAGGCTATAAATGGCCAGTAACAGAAGGGTTTCAACTCAAAAGTTACATTCTTAGTTTTGGACTTTCCTGATTACTACAAGTATGTTTTAACAAGTCCCTTGGGGTTATAGATCTTTCACGTTTTGTGAACATGTAGGAATTTTTAACTAGGATACATTGTGACCAATTTTTCCTTAGAAACTAATTTTCAGATGCTTTACAAGCCTTATTATTGGGATTGAAATTTCAGCAGTAGTGAAAGGAATGATTTTATTCTAACATAAAGATCCAAGTGATCTGCTCACTATATTCTTGGTGATACATTGTAAACATGTTCAATCCTTCGGTTATTGATGTAAAGGGAAAGACAAAAAAGCTGGGACCGTTTTGATCATAGTTGGCCGATATGAGACCCATTCCTGACATGATGAGCCACTCTGCCACTGATATAAGTTGATTTTTGACTAAGCCCTATCAACTTGCCCATTTGTGCAAGGGCATGACCTACATCGGCATAAAACCTATGGGAAAGTATTACTATAACCAAATGGACAATGGAAAACCATAGTATTACTATCACCATCCTTTGAATTGAAAGATGATGAAGGAGAGAAGGTGGGTGAAACTCTAGGAAGATGAAACCATAGATAAGTAGAATGCCCAAGTGTGCATTCATGTGCTTGGGAATATGATCGAGTAGGAAAGAGAAACTCTCTCAAGCCCACTTTTCAAGCGCTAGTGAAGCGTAGTCGTGGAAGCTTTGCCAGATGGGGGCAAGCAAAGTGTGTAAGCACTGAGTGATCCATCGAATTCCAATTTAGTAGACTTTGCCTTGGGTTTGGTTCCCCCCCTTTGCCTAGCTCAAATCTTACATACTTCTCTCGCTGGCTCTGTGGTCAATACAACATTAGGTGCTATTAATGTTAGTCTAACAGCGGTCCACATGTTTATAGGGAGCCTAAGGAGAGGGCGAGAGCCTTTAGATCATCAGTTGACCTTGTTGCTACTTTTTTACTTGTGTCATTATCAACCAAGCCTTATCCCAATTATTTGGGGTCGGCTGATAAGATGTAGCAAAGTTTTATGCTGGCTCCCTCTAACATTTGTACTTGTATCCAAAATCAAAACATTGAGGTTTTTTCTCTTTATCGATGTGTCAAAGAAATGGCCCCTTCTTCAGCTAGATGTTGAAAATCCATATCTTAAAAGAGAAATATAGGAACAAATTTACAAAGAACTCTATTCTTTCTTTCAATTAAGAGAAGCACAAGGGATGATGCGCAAGTTAGAGCAAGTCTTTGATGGCCTATAGCAACACCAAGATTGTGTTCTGAAAATTTTTACCATGCAATGATGAAGGTTGGATTCCATAAAGCTAGTGCATTCCATTCTGATTTATCTAAAGATTGTGAAGGACCTGGGCTAGTAGTGTTGCATGTGGAAACACATAATGGTTACAGTAACTGAAATGCAAGGGATAGATAATTGAGCACTAATTATGCCAAAATTAGAAATAAAGGATCTGAAGAAGCTAAATATTCCAGAAAATCGAAGTGACGATGCTAGATAAAATGCTACATTTATCCCATAATGCAAGCAATTAATCTAGTGGCAAAGTGCTAGCTTATAAGGGACAAATTAAGGAACTTGTCATTTGTATCAAATCACTTTTTGTTGATAGATAGAAAGCCATACAAGGATCCACTAGATATCTTGGTACTGTCACTTTTCTTACCTGTCCAAAAGTATCAAATCACTTAATTGTTAATACAAGTATTGTTCAAATTGCCAGGAAACCAGTGGTTATGAGTGGATAAAACACATTAAGGTTCATTGGATTTATGTCACAGAGAATGTAACAGAAGGGAGCATCATCTCTCCATATCGTCCTAGTAGAGAGCAAGTTGCAGACATTTTGACTAAGTGAATTGGGTGAGGCATATTCAGTGCACATTTTCTAATGCATCAACTCACTAGCATGGAATGCTAATGTGTGTTATTACTTGTAGGGGTATTAATGGAAATACAGAATTGTAGGTGCTCTGTTTTCATGATTTATTTAGCACTAACTATGTGTTGTAAAATATGTCCATAGTCCTCTTAGAAACATGTATATTTAATGCAAAACAGAAGATAACGAATGTGATGAAATACAGCTCCATATGGATGCTTTTACCAGAATTACCAGAATTGTGTTATCAAATTTTTTGTACCTACAACTGTGAATAATTAACTCACATTGCCCATGATTATATAAATGCTCCTTGATGATGGGACAGTTTCAACATTAATTGTAAAAATAGAACAGCTCCTTTAATTTACTGTGAGGCACTAGGTATTGTTGGATGAGGTTGAGACTTTTATACTCAGATTGGTTGGCTTTGAATTAATGACAAATCATGCTGTATTGGTTCTGCCTGAAGTACTATCCAAGTTCCCTGATTTGAGGTGGTTTCATTCTGTTTGCTGCTGCAATTATAATACTTTCATATGGCTATGATGGTGGCTGTACGTAAAACATATGTGGTTAGAACCATATTTTATTTTAATTTGTTTCTTACATCTGGAGAAATGTATTTGTCCGAATCACTCATGCTCAATGTTTTTCTTTTGGCCGTATGGCTCAGTTTTCTTTGTGTGAGTGATTTGAGTCTGGAGCGGTGTTTGTTTCTAGCCTAGCCAGGTAACTATTTTTTGGACAAATTATTATACCAAAGAAGGCAAAAGAAAATGGAATCTCTTCCAAGTGCCTTTAAGACCTATCCTGTCAATGCTTCTTTTTCCCTAGTCTTTCTATAGTTGTTTCTGGGTATTGATGTGTAATAATATGCCAAGTCAAATTTAGAATGATCTTCACTGTGAATGGTTTTCAAATTAACATAAATCCAACTGACAATGATCAGATTGTGCATGTGTTACTAAAGAGAAAATGTTAAATGAATTGGTGACAGCCCATTAAAGAACAGGAAGCATCATTATATGAATAAATTCCAACTAGAAATAGCATATATGTTAATAGTTAACTGAGAGAATAGTTAAGACACAGATAAATTGTAAGGAAAAATTTAGTTCATGAAGCTCTAGCAGTATTGTAGTGTGCGGTAGAATGCTCTAATTGGCTCCATCTTTTCTCCAAAACTCCTATATTAGTGTTTTTAATAATAAATGATTCATAAAACTAGTTGTTTTTGTGCTTTTGAATTTGTAAGGCCTAATGCCTGCTTTGGATTGCCATTTCCCTTATGGAAGTTCACAAGTGGTAATTCATGGTAGTTTTGTCAAATTCGCTGCTAAACTTGAGATTTGCAATCAATGTTCCTCAATGCTTATGTGTTTTGCCCATACTTAACCATTATTTGAGATTTGCATTTAAGGTTCCTCAAATTCCAATTGTTTTTGCTGATGCTTTTTGCATTATCACTGTTTACTTTGACTGCTAAGAGACAAATTTGTAATGCTTTATAGAATCAAAACAAGAATATTAGATTATGTGAGCAATTTCTTGATAATATAGAACCTAACTGCATCTATTTCTTGTAGTGCAAGTGTATTTGGTGTTTCTCCAGAGTCTATGCAATGTTCATATGATGCTAGAGGGAACAGTGTGCCAACAATACTTTTATTGATACAGAGGCGCTTGTATTCACAGGGTGGACTTCAAGTATGTCCATACTTATCTAGTTGTTTGATACCTCATGTGTCATACTTCAATCTTCATGTTGATTCTGTTTATTTCGTTGTTTTGATTGAAGGCAGAAGGCATATTTAGAATTAATGCGGAGAATGGCCAGGAGGATTATGTCAGGAACCAGTTAAGCAAAGGAATTGTACCACATGGCATTGATTTACATTGTCTAGCAGGACTAATAAAGGTACTTCTTGTGAGATGCTTAATATTATCTGGATGATTTCACAGGTTCTATCTTGGCATTTGGTTGTATCTTCCATATAGAGCTAGAGAATCAAATAATACTTGCATATAGGTCTTGCTGTGAGGTGTAAACTTTTCCTTCAGGTTGCATGTATACATATATATCTATTGACATTTTGTTCATAATCGATACATATCTCTTGTCCATCTTTGTTTGTAACATGGATGATACGTAGAACAAATCTTTCATACTAGGATTAATTACTCGAGAAGATTTGGTTCTCTATGTGACTTTGGGATATCTTCACATACATTGAAGTATTTAGTTCCCCTTCAGGATTTCTACAGTTGCAGGTACAGGACATTGACAATTGGAATTATATAAGCAGCAAGGGATATAGAATATTTATTGATATCTTTCACATAAATGGAGGTTAGTTTCCCTTTAGGATTTCTTTAATTGTAGTTACTGGACATTGACAATTGAAATCATATAAGCAGCAAGAGTAGTGCAATATTTTGGCAACCAATAAATTTCAAAAAAACATATTTTGGCAACCACTATTATGACATTGGACCCAACTTCATCTAGGTTCTCTTTATTGATTTCACCATCATAGTTATGATAGCAAATAATATAAAGTTGGTTTACAATGCTGCAATCTCCACGAACATGACTTACAAGGACTCCTCCAATGTATATAGTATCTCAAATGTAGTTCAGCATTGCACACAATAAAGATTATATGCATTATATTCTAATACATGAATGTACCATTCTTGTAAATATCGATTGGAATCCAAATCTGCATTGAGTGTTTTAAGGAGTGCCCCATTTTGAAGGGATTTCTCAATTCATATCTTTATCTCTCATCATCTCGAAGTTCATGAACATATATCATAATTTCATGGGCATAATCGACTGATGTTTTCAAGCAACAAAGTGCATGAGTTCCCTTATTCTTCTAGTTCCACTCCTTTTGATACCTTCGTCCTCATTCTCCATCCTACATTTTGCATTCCTACTTGTGACATGTCGAGATCTACTTCTTCATATGTGCAGCAACCATCCTTGGACTTTGTCAAACAAAACTAGTTGTCTACCATGACAAAAAGGTATCCAATGGCAAGCTGCCTCCAAAGTCATTCCATTCAAGTCTTTTAGGCATCTTGCCAGTCTTCTTTCCTACTTGATCACAAAAGGCTGAGCAAAGGATTTCTGTTGTTTCTGAAAAACTTGCTAATAAAAAGCAGCAAAGCAAGATGACATTTGATGGCCATCTTATTTGAATTAGATGCTCTCATGGTTAGAAAGGATATTGTTGTTGAATATGTCAGGTTGAGACTAGTGCTCATGGAGTGTTGGACAATGAAGGAATTCATCAAGAGGGTTATCAGGAATATGTTTTAGGGTTTTAACTGTAAGACTTCCCTCTAAGTATTGTAGCAAAGATGCCACATGCTCATAATGGGAAGATCTTTTTGTTTGATTAGTTTTCAACTCTCTATTAGCTTGTTTATTCAGTGTTTACCTCTCTATTGGCTTGGAATGAAGAATGTGGTTGTTTACAGTTACTTAGGTTTGGAGGTTTAAATGCACGAGGCACTTAAATTATTACTCTATTCTTTTCTTTCTACTTTGTCGTTTCAAGGTAATTGTATGGTATCAAACACATTCACCCTGATTTGAGAAATTTCACGCAGCTGCTACATGTGCTGGGTATCTGGCAGTTCTCTTTTCTGATCTATCCTCCACATTGACTACTAATTTACTAGTTTATAATGGTGATACTGTTATTCTTGGTGATACCTATTGAAGAATCTTATTGCTTGAGCAATAGTTACACAGTTTCAAATGAAGGATATAAGCCATGTGGCATTCTTTTGGGGGAGGGGCTGACAGTCGTGAATGTACTATCTTAATGCAAGACTTGTATGAATCTGATCCTGCTAGTTTGATTGATTAACAAAATCTAAAGAAATAAATCGATAAAAAATGAAAACCGAAATATAAAATGTTCGTGAAAAGGGAATATAGGATGGGTTTAAATGGTGCAATCTGTTGATCAGTTGAACCTGATCCTTTGTATTTGAGGGTTGACCTAATCAGATACTGGCCGATTTGGTCTAGCCTTCATAACATTTTTATATGTGTCACAGACTCATGGTTAGAAAGAGAATGGAGACACCTTTTGAATATACTATCATGTAGTTGCCATGAAGGGTGAGAAGCATTGGATTAAGATGGAAACCTCTCCTTCCTCAATTCTTATTTTGACGGTTGAGATAGAGAACACATGTAGCAGGCACAGGCTGCTAAATGTATTTCTCTATGTATTCCTCAAAATCATTCTTTCATTTCTTTTCATTACAAAGGACATGCATTATACAGTTTTCATAGGAGGTATGTTTGTCCTTTTTAATGTAATTGATTTTGCAAGGACATTTTCCTCTCAGCCTCTTTTCATGAGTACTCATTTAGTGCAGTTTGATTTTTTCGCAATGTTTGCATGGTATGACCCTGTTAATATTTCATTATGCTTGGATATTTTCTATTTCAATTTACCAATAGTCTAATGTGGTTCTGGAAACATCCATTTACTCTTTACTTGAACTGGTGGGCCTGATTGCATCCAGATTGGTATACTATAGTGCCAAATACTAATACTCTAAAATATTTTAAGTAGTAAATTGACATGCATGTATAGAAAAGGATCCCCTGCCAAAATCTATACCTTTCTTAGTTTGTTACTTCCGAGAGTGGAGAGTAGTAATAGACAGCTCAAGCTATGCCTAGGCAAGATGTGTATGAAGTTATGAGTCAGAATGTCAGATCAATTTCCAGCTGGGACAAAGAAACTGGTAGTGTGAGCAAAAAGGTTCAATGTAGTGGAGAGAATATGAACTTTTGTCAGCTTAGATGGATAACTGATTTTTGTTTGATGAATATTACAAATAGGGAATTTAGGAAGGTGATGCAAATAAAAATTGGGGTTATCAAAATTTTATTTAATGTTTTTAATGGATTAAATTTTGTATAGGGCAGTGTGTGAGTTGTTTTGGGGATATGGTTGGTTTTAATATTAGGCAAAGGGATTTAGATCCCCTATTTTTATGGACTTGGGAGATTCACTTAAGAGATTCATGAGAGATTTAGATAGAGATCTATGGGAGATTTATAGGGCCTCACGTTGGGAGAAGAAGAGATTGAGAAGAAGAAGAGATTTGAATAAGAATTGAGAGATCTAAAGGATTTAGATATGGGAAAGATAAGAATTTAGATAAAGAAAGATCAAATGTGGATAAAGATTGAGAAAAGTGCGAGGAAAAATAGGTTGAGAGAATTGTGAGAGAGGGCGTGAGAGAGAGAGAGACAGTTTTATGGTTTTTTTATTATTTTTATATCTTATTTCTTTTATTTTGTAATTAAGGGAAGGGAGTTCCTCATTGCGAACAAAAGAGAATTGATTTGAGTAAAGAATCTGGGTATTGTGAAAAGATATTTTGGAGTGGACTTCCTGGTAGATCAAGAGAGGGGGTATACACTCTCACCCTTTATTATGATTTTTATTTTAATTATTTCTTCCCTCATCTTCCCTGTGTCAGAAGGCCATTAAGGGTTGTCAACAAACATAATTCCAGGTTATCTGGCAGCTTCATGTTGTAGGTCATGAAGCATCTAAGTTTACAGGTATGGTACCTTGCTTGTAGTGGGAACCAAGTTTGTGTCATTTTCTTTAGGTGATTTAGTCAAATTACTTTCTATGGCAAGCTCCATGTCAATGGGAGCATATTCTGTAGTTCTTAGATTATCGAATTCTTGTTTCCTGGTAATCATGGCAAAAAATAAATAATTACTTGTCAAAACATGTCCTCAGTGTAGTTTTTTTTGTGTGAATGTAACAAGTAGTTAACCTGTTACCTAACAACAGAACCATTAATAAATGTTTATTGTTCCCCCATCATCATTCTTAAGGAGGACGAAAGAATTCCTGCTGATGGTTTCCAGAAAACACGAGCCTCAATATTCTTTCAGTGAGTGCCAACTTGAGCAGAGCCTATTCAATCTGCTGATCTCCTAAGAGATCATTGAGTCGAGGATTATTTGAAAACATGGAACCAGGAAGGAGGTGGGTCTGAGTGGGCTCGCTGGGTCTCGATTCTGACCTGCAAAGACTCGAACCAGAACCACTGACTTTTCTGAATAACTGCAGAGACTCAGTAAGTCTTGTAAAGACTCAGGTTACCCAAGTTGGGGTAGCGTGCCGGATCAGAGAGACTTGGGCAAGTCCAAGTCGGATTCACTGAGTTTCTAATAGCTGAGCCGGAGTATTAATAGACTGTTTTTTTCACATTCTACTTGATACTATCCATATTGATCCCTTGTTTTTCGTCTAAATTATTTCTGAGTTTGGACCTGATAATCATCTTGTTCCTCTTCAGGCATGGTTTAGAGAACTACCTTCAGGCGTACTGGACTCTTTGACACCTGAGCAGGTGATGCACTGCAACACAGAGGCAGAGTGTCTTCAGCTTGTGCATAGCCTGCCTCCCACTGAGGGGGCACTGCTCAATTGGGCGATCAACTTGATGGCCGATGTTGTGCAGCATGAACACCAGAACAAGATGAATGCTCGCAATATCGCTATGGTGTTTGCTCCCAATATGACACAGGTTCAGAATCATGATGCCCACATTACTCAGCATAAAAAATGAATTGATTAAAGGAAAAAATTACTATGACCCATATGATTAAGGTAATAGTGTGATCATATGGGTCATTGCCATCCTATCAATGGGCTGGATGATGATGGAGAATGTTCTCAATTGAGAGTCCCCCTTCATCACTATCGGACGATTGATGGGATGGTGATGGTCTCCCCTGTATCCATGCTGATACCCTAATGATATGGGTTGTGGAATACATTCCCTTTGTTAAATAAACCAGGACAGATGTACCACTCTCTAGTGGACTGTGATAAACCATAGTCGGTGGGTTCATGATCATCCAATAAAATGGAGTGAGTAGGACCCAGGGGTATAGAATGATCACAATGTTGGGTCCGTACTGTCTTTCCATCACGGTTTAATCAGAGGGTGATCCCCATTTTGTAATTTTGGTTGTTTTGCCCTTCAATTGACTATAGTTCTCCCCAGTCCATGTCCTGTAGTACACTTTCCAGACGATGAAAATACGATTTATCACATTGTCTTTGTCTACTCTTTCTTGTTGCAGATGGCAGATCCCTTAACTGCATTGATCCATGCAGTTCAAGTGATGAACTTTCTTAAGATGTTGATTGTGATGACTCTGCGTGAGAGAGATGAGACAGCCAGAGACCCCAAATTGTGTAGCTTGTGCTCAGACTCTCCAAATACTGAAGGCCATAGCTGTGTCCAAAATGGATCTTCATTGGGCAAGTTCTTGCAAGTAAAGCACAGTAGATCATCCAGTGCTAGAGAGGATAGTTTCCGGAGTTTTCAAGAGCAAGATGAGGTTGATGGGGAAGAGGAGTTTGTGCGCAGTGGGAGTTCTCCTGTGGAGGGTAAAGTGGGAAGCACGGAGCGTGGGTCATTAGATGGGTTTACTGGTGGTGATATTGAGGGCCTATTTGACAGGATGAGCTTGAGGAAAGGAGTGAAGAAGCTTTGCAGGCACCCTGTATTTCAATTGGGTAAATTATCAAAGAAGCCGCGAGAAGTCCAGATTGTAAATTCCAGGATAGAAGGCGAAGAAGTGTGGGCTGCATGAGTTCTTCAAACTTGGCAAATGGTTTCTAACTGATGATATTTTTTTTAATAAATTTTTATTTTCTAGTTTGTTAGCAGTGTGGTTGCTTAGTTTTGTTGTATCGTTATCCGTCTTTGTATAAATTGGGTTTTTTGAGCTTCAAACCCATGTAGAGTTAGTGGCTTGTGATAGTTTTCTTTTGTAAAGGTAGAAGAAAATGAGGGATTGCTCCAATGGGTCCAAGGCTCTTGGACCAACTTGAACCAAATGGGGCCAGCTTATTCTACTGGGCCCGGCCTGGTCCCTAGACTTAGATACCGGGTGACTCTTTATCTGCTCCTGTTTTTTCTACTTCTGTCCCCTCTTCAAATTTGCTTTTCATCCTATGGACTGAAAATGGGGATTTAAGTGAGCCACAGGATGGACTCTCAGAGAAATATTAAGAACCACGAATCGAAAGCAAAAATGACAGAAGCTCATCCGTGAGTCAATAAGAAAGGACTGAGAAGAAAAATAAAATAAAACCAACTAATGAAAGCAAAAGCAGTGGACGGGCGAATCCAATGCATATGCCCAAGGGTGAAAATATCCACTTTCTTGATCAATTCTAAAACATCATCAAAGATATTAGCATTTGGACTAGATAAAACTGATGATATTTAACCTCAACTCTCTCTCTCTCTCACTCTCTTATATGAACGTGTGAGAGACGTAGAGCTTACATTCTGTTCACGTGATGTATGGTCGACATGTGAGAATGCACGCATGTAAGATCTAAGAAAAAAAAAAATGGTTGTCCATATGATACAGGTTATTAAATATACGAGCTTATTAGCATAATAACTCCATATACAATTATTCACATCCATCTCCAATCAAGAATACGCTCATATGCAGAAAGCCACGGAAATTCCCTCAAACAATAAAATCAGTGTCACGTAAGTCGGATCCAATTACACTAGAGGCAATAAGCTCAAAACAGCATCAAATTTGATTAGCTCTAGCACATAGGTCAAGTGTTGATGCAAATTCAGAAGATTTTTTTGGATTAGCATGAACTGTGGGGAAGAGTCCAGTTAAACGTAATCAATGAGAATGGGACCATGGCGCTGCACAATAAAAAGGCTAGTGGCCAAAGGGTCCTACACCCTTAAGGTCAATTCTTGAAACCCAACAGTAAGCATGATCTTGTCGAATAGTTGTGAATGATTCATGTGGGCACCATAGTTTTTCTTACCATGTGGGCACCATAGATTTTCTTACTTGTGTACAATGTGGGCTATAGGTTTTCCAATTGAGAATTTGTCATAAACATTATTATTTTATAGGTCCTTCAAAAATTATATAATTTCGTTGTAGCCCCTCCCTTATGTCTCATGGCAAGTATGTGCAACCTCACCCCCTCCTTACATATCATACTGGGTTTGCTAAACCTCTTTCAGTTCTTCTTGAAGGGCAACCTCTCGCATTCTGCAAAAGAAAAAACAAGAATTGATCCTGATGCCGTTTCACTTTTGTGTTAATTTTGTAACTGCGCTCTGCTTCTTTTGCTACATATATTCAATAGTTATTTAGAATACAAGAAATACATCATATTAAACGAGGCTCCTCCACAACTGTTAGAACAAAGAAATGGGGACTCTGTGGCAACTGGTCTTTCCTATGCTAAAAAGCATTTAGGATCACGGTCACTTACGTTTCTTCAGTGTCAATATACTAATTAGGTTTGGAGATGGGTGTGGATGTGTTTGGATATGCAGCTCACTGTTCTGATGAGTTTGATGGAACTGTTTACATAGTGGGAGATATAGAATGTGGGTGAAATAGGGAGAGTGCTTTGGAAGATTATTAAGGATGCAGAGTATGAGAAGTTTGGAAAGAAACAAATATAAGATAATGTGAGGATAAAGTTTTGTTAATAAATGAATTATATGTGAAAATTAGAGTGGTGTTTGCTGAATGGGCATCGATTAGGAAGGAATATTGGAGTACATGAAGGATGGAGTTTATGTATAATGTTAAATAAGTCATAAAGATGAAGGGAGTGGCACAAAAAAGATCAAATGGGAAGCATAAAATTATGGAAGTATAAAATCGAATTTTAATGGGAGTTCTTTGGGGAATCCTGGTAGAATTGGTATAAATGGGGTTTTAAGGGATTACAATAAGGTTGTGTTGCAGAAGTATTGGGGTGGTAAGGGAATTATGATTGATAATGAGGTTATGTGCACCATTGCAAGTACTGAAAATAGCAGAGGAATGGAAGATGTATGTTATTTTTTAGGGTGACTTCATGAATGTCATAAAATGGTGTAATAGGTTAATGAAGGTGCCTTGCGTGAGAAAATACATCGTTGATAACACCCAATGTATATCTCTTTGTATAGTAGTTTGTTGAAGACGATAAGATAAAGCTCTTTGTAGTTTGAAAGGGATCAGTTTGTTGAATAGTATAAGACAAAAATGTAACAAGTAGCTGTAACAAATTTCTTTTTTGAAGGCCACAACGCATACATATGCGTTCAATGTAATAAATATTAGGAACCCCAAATTCCTTAGAAAATTAGGAAAAACCATATCCCCTCCTGGGGATCTCCTTTTTCGGTCGCTCGGATTTGTTGAAGGAGTTGGGGTTCCATTCTTAAACATGACAACATTCCTTCCCCTTCGCTACGGGGCTAAGATGGGTAACACTCAACCACAGCTTCTAACAGCTTCATTTCTCGAACCATCAAATGTGCCATGGAAACCACAACTTTTCAACTTAAAGCGTCGGCTACTACATTAGTCTGGCCCGGTTGGTAATCAATTGTACATTCATAATCATTCAATAAGTCCATCCATCTTCTTTGCCTCATGTTTAGCTCTTTCTGGGAAAATAGGTACTTGAGACTCTTGTGGTTTGTGAACACCTTAAACTGGGCCCCATAAAGGTAGTGCCTCTACATTTTTGACACGAACACTACTGCTGCGAGCTTTAAGTTGTGAGTGGGATATTTTTGCTCATGCGGCTTTAGCTGTCTAGAGGCGTAAGCAATAACTTTACTTCTCTGCATAAGTACACATCTGAGCCCTTTATGGGATGTATTGGTATAACCACAAAGTCTTCATTTCCTTCGAGCAAGCCTAATATTGGGGCTGTGACTAGTCTCTTCTTAAATTCCTGGAAACTCCTCTCACACTCCTCTGACCACACAAATTTTGCATTCTTCTGGGTCAGTTAAGTTAGGGGGTGTGCCATATTTGAGAATCCTTCTACAAAGCACCTATAATACCCTGTCAGTCCCAGGAACCTACGAACCTCAGTCACATTTATTGTATTTTCCCACTTAAGTACGGCTTCGATCTTAGAGGGGTCGACCATGATCCCATCCTTAGAAATAATGTGTCCAAGGAAGGCCACACTGGAGAGCCAAAACTCGCTATTGCTCAACTTAGCATACAATCTTTTCAACTTCAAAGTTTGAAAGACCATCCTTAGATGTTGTTCATGAAGTTCTTGATTATTCGAATATATCAAGATATCATCAATAAACACCACTACAAAGTCATCTAGGAAGGGTCTGAACCCCTATTCATCAAATCCATGAACACAGCAGGGGCATTGGTTAACCCGAACGACATCACAAGAAACTCATAGTGACCGTATCGATTTTCTGAAAGCGGCCTTTGTGGTGATGAAGGCCATCCATCCGTTAGGACTACCTCACTGATTTGGATGTAGTTCTTCAAGATAGAGCGGAATGCCTTGTACTTGTCCAAGTCATGGCCCCTTTGTTGATGGTATTTGCACCAAGGGCTTCGGCCTTTTTGCATGCTTAATTCTTGTATTTTGGGAACATAGGGCACTATAATCTCATGCTGGGACATCTTGTCGAATAGGATTGAAAGTCGCTCTGGAGGTAGCTTGGTTGGAGAACAGTCGCTAATGGATCCCTCGTGGACTATGACCATGTGGGAAGTTTCTAGGGCCTCAAAATCTTTCTTGAAGCCTTCTAGGTCGATCTGTTCGTTTTGGATTAGGGCATCGACGTGCTCTTTTAACTGGATGCAATCCTGGACTGGGTGTCCTACGCTCCGATGGTAGGCACAATTCTTGGGTTTGTCAATGAGCTCTGCTTGTTCTGGCTTCTTAGCGTCAGGGAGTACCAACATATCTTGATCAAGGAGTGTTTCTAGGAGGGTGGGACCCACTCCTTATTGAAGCTATACTTTCAATTTAGTCTGTGCAAGAATTCCTCAGTTTGATGGTATTTTTATGGCGGTGACACGTTAGTGTAATTCTTCTTCTGACGGGTTTGCAGCTACACATGTCTGGGCCTTAGTTGGTATCCCTCGTGAAATGTCTAGGGTCGACAGAGGGGCTGTATTGGCCGTAGGCTTAGTGTCGAGAGGTGTGGTTGTGATGGCTGCACTGATTTGGGTTGGTTGGTGTAGGGATTCGATCTGTTGCTGCCAGTGTTACGAGCTTAGCTGGTGCCTGAACTTTGGGCTCAGTCTCCTCCATGGTGTTTTAACATGCTTTCGATCTTGGCAGCCTTTGTGATTATGTCGGAGAAGGTGGTAGGGTTGCACGCCTCGACATGTAGGGAAATTTCTTGTTTCATGTTTCTCACTCATGTTTGCACAGATTCTATCTCACTCATGGGGCTGCTTAGACATGGCGAGGTCACCCCATCTTTGGATATATTTTTCCACTGACTCGTTTGGCTCTTGCGTCATGGTGATGAGCTCTATGGTTTGGACTTCCAATTCCACTTCAAAGAAGCGTTTGTAGAAGAACTGTTCAATCTCTTCCCACGAGTGGATTGAGTTTGGTGGCAGACATGCATACCATTTGAATGCGGGTCCCTCGAGTGTTTCTATGAACTGTCACAAGAGTAGTCTGGTGTCTGTGGCTGACTCCTGACATGCCGACATGAAGTGGGCTATGTGTTGTTGTGGCGACCCTGTGTCGTTGAAGGTCAGCAGTTTCTTTTTTTGGTATCCAATAAGGAAGGGGACTTGGTCAATTAAAGGTGGGTAAGGGATTTTGTATATGTGATTCTTGGGTGTTTTTGATACCTAGAGGCCTTGGATGCTCTTGTTAATCATCGACTGGAAGTCTTCTTGGGTGAAGGTCATCGGGGTGACCTGTGAGGCTGTGTTATGTTGGTCTTGGAAGGAGGTGGGTGGATCACCATGTATTGAAGCTTGGCCCACAAGTGGTGGCTGTGTTCGGTTCCTCTCATCATTCTGGGATCTGAGGGGGGAACTCACATCCTGGTGGAGAGACACCACGGTGCGAGTGTCCTCCAGTCGTTTGATCATGTC